AACGAGGGAGACCAACCAGATCTTGCGTAGGTTCAACTACTACTTATCAAGGTACGGGGGAAAATGAGATTATTTATATGTAGAGTTACATGAGGGAATTGGGTAGAGGAAGAGTCATTAGGATTATGAGTAATTTTATAATTATTTTTTTTTGGAGAATTATTGATCTTATGTGATTCTGAATGTATTTAGGACTATGAATATATGATTTATTTGTAAAAATGATGCTCTGGGAGAGAGAACGAAATTATAGAAAAGTGCCTGTAAGTTAGGTTTTGGAAAAATTGGATTATTTCTATTTGAGGAATTAATGATACCATTAGATTCTGTATGTGTTGAGGATTATAAATATATATTTAATTTGTAAGAATGATGATCTAGGAGAGAGAACGAAATTGTAGAAAAGTGCCTGTGAGCTAGGTTTTGGAACAATTGGGGGTTTTACTATTTATGTTAAGATTGTATTAAATTGCTAATTCTATTGATTATTATATTAACTTATGAATGTTATTGTTATATTATTTGATAAAATTGATGATCTAGATAATGATTCATGGTGAATTATTTGAGGGGTATGTGAACCACCATTTTGTGTGGATTGTGTATGTATTGTGGAATTGATATGTGGATATGGATGTGGATGTGGATGTGAATGAGAATGTGATTGTGGTTCCTCACACTTGTGACCAGGGGTGGCATGACCTTAGGCAAGAAATGCTACAGGCGTGACCTTGGCATAGTATGAGATGGGTAATTCCTCATGATTATGTCGGGGGTGGCACGACCTCGAGCAAGAGATGTTGCAGGCGTGACCTTGGCACAGTGTAGGATGTGTGATTTCTCATGCTTATGTCGGGGGTGGCACGACCTTGGGCAAGAGATGCTACAGGCGTGACCTTGGCATAGGGTGAGGCAATTAATGCTTATGTCGGGGGTGGCACGACCTCAAACAAGAGATGCTACAGGCGTGACCTTGGCATAGGGTTAATTGTAAGATTTGTGATAGATTGGTGTGATTGTGATTGTGGTTCCTCATACTGATGACCAGGGGTGAGCACGGCCCTAGACTGTTAAAAGGGTAGCGTGACCTTGACACAATATTATGTCAGGGGTGAGCACGACCCTAGCCTACTAAAAAGGTAGCGTGACCTTGACACAATGTGATGTTAGGGGTGAGCACGACCCTAGGCTGAAGGGTAGCGTGACCTTGACATAGTAAGATTTGTGATGATTGTGATTGCAAGATTTGTGAAGATTGGTGTGATTGCGAATTGTGACGTGATGATGATACATGACTGATAGAGTTATGATATATTGAAATGTTTATGAATATTTTATAATGAGATGATATGTTGCATTTTTCCTTGTGTGCTTTACATATAGATGTTTTCTTTTCTCACCGTATAATTTGTGAATGTTTTAGGTGAGGAAGATCCAGCTATGAGTGACATCTAGAATGCCAACAGTTGAGTTGTGGGCATGCTCTGATATTGTGACATCGGGGCAGAGGACTTCTAGGACATGAACTTTATTTGTAAATGGAGCTGTACTTAATTATTTTGAAAACATTTTGTAACCTCTTATATTTTATTTTCCAAGTTTCTTTTTCAAAATATTTTGGATATCAAAGAATGTTTCTAAAGGTTTTTATGTGAACCCTTTTACCGACGTTGAAAAATTTATTTCCTTAGTTTATTTATACAATATATGTGTTGGAGTAGTAAGGGTGTTACATTATGCATATATATATTAAGGGAAAAAAGTACTTAACTCCCTTAAATTTTATCCCTTTTGTATATAAAAAAATATAGACTTTAAGTTTATTTCGATTGATTCTTAAACTTTGTCTTGTTAACAAATAGACACTATAAATTTTAATTTTATTATAATTTATTCTTAAACTTTACCATTTTTACAAATAAAAACTTTGATTACAATTTTACCTTAATTATTTTTTTTGTAACTCTTTTATATTACATGGAGATTAAATTACTAAGATAAAAAAATATCAATCATTTATTTATTTATTTATTTATTTTAAATCACACTTATTTATTATTTTTTGGGTACATATATATTAGTTTTATTTTCATATATATTAAAATACCATATACTTTAGAATAAAAAATCAATTAAAGACTTTTTTTTTTTTTTTTTATCATTTTGTTTCAAAACTCATATTTCTATTATGTTTTGAAAAAAAAATAATTGTAACATAAAAAGAAAAAAATTAATGAATGATTGATATTTAAGATAAATAATTTAATTCTAAAATTGATAATATAAAAACTTTGTAAAAATAATAAATTATTAAATGTCAAAATCAATTAGAATGAAATTAAAGTTGAAACTTGAAAGTGTTTATTTGTAAAAAAAGTAAAATTTAAAGATTTATTGAAACAAAATTAAAATTCATAATATTTATTTACAAATAAGATAAAATTTAAGAATTAATTAGAATAAAATAAAAATTTATGATACCTATTCATAAAAAAACAGTAAAGTTTAGATAATTGATTACTCTTTTCCCTATTATTAAAAACTTAAGGACATTAAAATATTATATCATTTATAATTTTTGTTATATTTTATTTTATTAAAACCTATATATGTTGTTTTTTACTTAAACTCAAATGTTATGCCTATACATATTATTAAAAGAGTTAATTATCCATACACTGTTAGTGTAAAGTTTTTTACACTGGTAACCAATCATATTTTTTAAATTATTTTATTTTATTTTTATTTGATTAAATAAGAAAATGACATGATACTATTAAAAGATATGATTAGTTGCTAGTGTAAAAAAACTTTACACTGGTAATGTATAGATGATTAACTCTTATTAAAAACTTCAAACGTAAAACGTCTTTAAAGTACCAAAGTGTGATTAGCTTAAATTAAATATTTTATAAACTGTTACACATTATAAAAAAATACCAATCATATATATATATGAGGAGGGTTATAATAATACTAGTATAACTTTACTAAGTATTACACTGTTAAATAACTTTATATTAAATGTGAATTTTGTAAATCCAACTATTAGATTGAAAGTTACTTAATTTTAGATCATATATACAAAATTTTATATTAATCCAAGATGATTTGATACTTGATTCTTATAAAACAAAATTTACGTAATATATACATTCAAAATATACTAAATTATGAATATTTTGATTAACTTCAAGTTATTGTTCAATTTTAACAAAATTTGATATAAACATATAAAATGATAAGAATTTTTTAATCTAACAGTTATATTTACAAAATTCACATTTAATATAAATTTATTAAGCGATATAATACTTAGTAAAAGTTATACCGATATTATTATAACCTTCCTCTCTCTATATATATTAATGTATTTATAAATTATTAGATTTGACTTACTAATGAAAAGTTAAAAATAATATTTATACGATTTTAGATTTAAATTATGATCTCGACAATATAAATTCAATGAAAATAAATAAATCGTTGCTCTTGGAAAGAAATATTTACTAAATTCTATTTGTAATAAATGGATTAATGTTTAAAATTTAATATCGGATAAAATAAAATTTCTCATTTTTTATTCATTTTGGATTTCTTTTCTTCTAAGTGAAATAATAATTAATAAAATAAAATAGTCTAGAATGATCATTTTAAATTTTGATTTCTCCTTGAGATCTCTGTACATTCCGTGTATTTTACTTGTGTCATATTTAATATTCTACAATCTCAAATAAAGAAATAAATATATACTATGTTATTCATCAAGGAAATAAATATAGAAAGTTATATTCTTAAATACTTATTTATGCAGAGTTTTTTTTTTTTTTTTTCATTTTGATATTTTCAAATGAAAGTCGTGTATCCTAAAATGGGAGTCGTATTTGTGAAACATAGCTTTCGGTTTAGAAGTTATGTTTTACAAATTCAACTTATTTCATTTTGAGATGTTTCTTAAAACCTATTCATTTAAAAAATTTTAAAAATAAATTGCCCTTATGAATAGTATCTATTGTTTAAAGCTAGGATTATTATGATATTTAATCTTTTGTATATCTATAATAATAGATAAAGTGATTAGTATACATATTTTATTTTTTTTTCTTTTTATCTTTTATTATTATATAAATAATAGGTTTTTCTTAATACCAAAAGTCAAAAAAATCACATTCTATATCAAGTGTCAACATTATAGATAATTAAAAGTTATAGAAGTAGTGGTATTTAGCGATTATAGAGGCTTGAAGTGCACCCTACAAGTCTCTAATAGAGTGAGTTCATTATTAATATATAATGGTGAGTAAAAGAGACTTCATAATTTTTTTTAAATACATACACATTATTGGAAGTAGTGAACAATTATCAAGATATTCAAATAAAAAATTTATATATTAATTTTTTTTTACCTTTATTAATTGCTAGTGTTTTATCCCATGCAATATACAAATTAAATATTTAAAACATGTAATTACAATTTATAATAAATAATATATATAAATAAATATTATGTTTGAATATATAAATCATGTTTAAAATTTGTAAAAATAAATACTTTTAAATATATAAATTATATTTTAGATTTATAATAAATAACTCATATATTAGTACAATATTATTTTATTTATTGATAATTTATTTAAAAATATTAAAATTTAAGTCATAAATAATTATGATAAATAAAAATTAAATTGGTCAATTATAATATAGGAATACGAAATTTTCAATCCAACAATGAATTTTGGAAATTTTTATTTATTTATTTGAGAAATGTAATAATTAATAAAAATTATATTAATATCATTTAATCTCTCTATATATTAATATTATAATAAAAATTAATATTTTAGTAAAAAAATATTAATATTAATATTATAATAATTGTTTGTGTCTAGTTTATAATGTATTATATGAAACCAAACATAGCAAAAGTACATAGGAGTTGTGATATATAATGGTGGTTTTATAACCTATGACTTTATAATAATACAAAGCAATTAACTTTGTGGTAAGGCGTGAGTGCATAAATTAGAATTTAGGACAAAGGAGAGAGGGAGACATGAATATGACAAATAAGCCAAACTCTTGTGGTTCCACTAATGTGTTTCAGTCTCAACTGCAACAACATAGTGAAAGGCCAAATGGGTGTGAGGGATCATCTGGCCCCAGACCCACACCACCTTACCCTGCACCAACGGCTCGCTACCAGGACATTGTTCGTGATGCAAGCATCTTCTGGGAAAAGCTTCATGCTTTTCACGGATCACTTGGCTCCAAATTCAAGTAAAAAAAAAAAAAAATACCCTTTTTCAATTACCCTCTGTTCGTTTGTTTTTGTTGCTGATTCTTCTTTTTGCCTTTCTGGGGTTGGTTAATTAGTTTATGGGGTTGTAAAATTTTGTTCTTTTCGTGCTTTGTTTTCCCACATTCCAAGCAAGTGAAATTTGCTTGTTTTATTTATGTTGAGTTTAGAGTTTCAAATCTTGTATGGTTGGTGATCATGCATATTAGCATGTTAGTTAGCTTTTTGATTATGTTTTTAAAGCTTGCCTGGGCCCTCTATTGGTTGATTTTAAATTAGGACTATTGGGAAAATTGGGGAGTTATTTTCTTGAAGTTTTGGTTTTCAGGATTGGTTGGCATTAATGGGTTTGATACTTCATTCTTATTGATTTTCGTTTTATAGTACACCTGTTATTTTCTTTTGTCTATTTATTTGCTCTTAGGTGCAGATGGAATGTTGAATGAAGTGTGGATGATGCAGAAAAATAATAGAACTAAAATTGGTGTTCTTTTTTCCTTTTTGTTTGTGTAGGGTTGCTACTATAGGAGGAAAGTCACTTGATCTGCATCGCCTTTTCGTGGAAGTAACCACTCGTGGTGGAATTGAAAAGGTTTGCATTCCATAAATCTCTACTAATAGGAAAAAAATCTGTCCCTTTGTGTCATGAAATATGTGTTTTTATTTTTCCCTTTCTTTTATGATTTGAGTTTGATTTTATTTCAATAGATTTGGTGCTGATTGTAGAGATTTTAAGTTTGCAATTTTATCTGTGATCTTAAAAGTTTGTTAGATTCATTTGTCTCTTTGATACAACCGTTTAAAAATGATCCTCCTGAGTGTTTTCTTAAATTAATATAGGTGATTTATGATCGTAACTGGAAGGAAGTGATTAAGGCCTTCAATTTCAGAGATACCATAACAAGTGCATCATTTATTGTGCGCAAATCATATCTATCGACACTTTATCACTTTGAGCAAGTGTATTATTTTGGGAGGCAAGGCATTCCTCCCCCAACACCTGGTAAGAAAAAATGATGTTCGTTTTCCCCTCTTTAATTATATATTTTGTGTTTTTTTAATTCATCTTCGACCAATTAATACTTTAATTTAATATATCCAGATCTTGTGATTAGAGGCCAATCTGGCCATCCCTATAGCTCTGCAAGCATTCCATATGTTGCTGCTGTCAATAATTCATCTTTTCAGGGTAAGTCAACATTTATGGTGTGATTAGTTTAAAAAACAAAAAAGGAATTGATGGAAAATGAGTAGAAAGCCAGATGATTTTTAGGTTGTCTGATAGGAGAGAAAATGAAAAGAAACAAAGGTGATTTTTTTTTTCTTCTTTTGTTTGGTTGTGTAGAAAGTAAAAGGAAAGAAAAAGTATGCATATAAAATAACATAAATATCCAAGTTTATAAAAATAATGATAATTTAGTATTTCGATCACACAAAATTAATTTCCGTTTTTTTTTGTTGTCCTGCAATTAATATTAGTAAATGTTGCTCCCGTTCTTTCAAAATTGGAAGTAGACATTGGTTTTAATCTTTGTGTTCATCTAATCTATATGATAAGTGGATATACTTTTCATGTATAACTGATAAGGATTTGCTTTCTTATATGCAGGTAGTCCAGCACAGACATTTGATGCTCTGCTTCCTGGAACAATTGATGTCAAATTTGATGGTGGATATGTTGTTACAATGAGCGTGGGTTCTGAGAAGCTCCAAGGTGTCTTGTTTCATGTTCCTGACAACATGTCCCAGAGTTCTCATACTGAGGGCACATCAAGTCCACAGAATCACGGTGAAGGTGCGTCTAGTTTGCAGAGTCGAAAGAGAGCAAAACATGCACAGCGTGATCCATCTATGCCAAAGTCAAACAGGAGTGGCTACAACTTTTTCTTTGCTGAGAATTATGCTAGGCTGAAGCCAGCTTATCATGGGCAAGAGAAAGCAATTACTCAGAGGATTGGGTTTCTGTGGAACAATCTGTCAGAAGCAGAAAGACAGGTATAAATGCACTTCTTTTACCAATGATGACAGTTTTGTGCTTTGGTTCTGTTTTGCTGCTGATTCCTTTTTCTTTATGCAATGAAGATTAAGGGAGAGAAATGGAAATTAAATGTGTATGGACTAGTTTTCCTGGCACATGGATCATATTTCTCCCATCATTTATCTCTTACTAATTGTACCTTTCTAGGTCCTTGACCAACCTAGTTGAGTAAAAATGGTTTTTCCCAAGCCTCTTCACCTTTACAAGGCTTGAGGCTGGAGGGGCTGTGTCACTTAAGTCACCGTTGATTGCTTAGTAAACATTGATCGAACAGTTTTCCTGTCTTTCAGTTATTAGGGATAAGGTTGATTATGGTCATCATGGATCAAGGGATGGTGGTTTTCTATTAAGATAGTGGTTAGAAACCTTACCCCAGAGAAGAGAAGCAGTTTTTTAGATATAAGGGGAGGTTTCAGCGAGGTTAGGTTAAGTTTCACTCATTAAATGTTCTAGGAGGATAGAACTGATCTCTGATGACTGGAACACTAATCAAGCAAATGTTGCATCTATATCTGTTTGTTTTAAGATTCAGAAAATCAATGACATGTCCGATATTATTCTACTTTTAGAATATCTATGACAGTTTACCTTGATGCTACATACTTCGTTGCTTGTTATATGTGTATTTAATGTAGCTACTATTGATGTGGTTGCTCATATAGATGTGTTAGAGTTCAAAACAGATTCTCTTCTCTTCTTTGTACGCTTGCTAAATGCTTAGCTATATTTTATTTCAACCTACACTAAGCTAAATTTGACATTTCTGAGAAAATGTTCCCCCACATGTTTTATATTATATAGTTAACTGTTTTTCTATTTGCTTATGGAAGCTATCGGGGATAACAAATTATAATTCTGTGAAAATATTAGGATGGGCCATATTTGTTGCAGTAATAATGGTTTTTTGCTTTTTATAAAATTTATCTTGTCAGAGAAACCATAGAATAAAAATACATTTTCATGCTGACCAAAGTTCAATTCTTTGTTGTATGTATGGAAAATAATTTGTTAGTAGAAGCAAAGCTCCTTAGGTGCACAAAAGAAATACATTTTCTTGCCTTAAAAAGAACAATGATGTGGAGCTCCATGATTTGTTTGAAATTATATTGTGGGGTTATTTATCTCCTACATATTTTCTCATGCATTTTTTCGTTGTTGTGGATTTGATGCAGGTTTATGAAGAGAAAGCAATGAGAGATAAGGAAAGATACAGGACTGAGCTGATGGATTACAAAGCCACCAATTCAACTCCAAATGCTCAATAGGCTGTTGTATGCAATCCTTAGACTGCCATTTCATATGCTTCTTCTTTAGACTCTTGTTCATTGAATGTCTTTGTTGTAGTAAATTTTATCATTCTACACAGAAACTTGTAAGAGTAGCCTTGTTTTGTTGTGACAATTCTTGTGTAAATTATGCTGAATGGTTTTATTAAACATCTTGTAGCAATTCATTTGTTGTTGTTACTCTAAAATCAAGGCTCCTTCAATTTAAATTTAAACATCTTATTTTTGTAAGTCTGCATTTCATAAGTAAATAGTGATATGGTCGTCTTTGCACGCAGATGATCATTATATTTAATTACAAGCTTTTGATGTATTAACTTAAAAGATTTATTTGTATCCTGTTTTTAAAAACTATTTTCTGTTTTTAAAAGTAAAAACTTGTTTGATAAGAATAGTTTTTGAAAACTGCTTTTAGAAATAATATATCTTTTATAGGTTTTAAAATAAAAATCATAATATCCCTAAATTGTTTTAGGTTTTCTTTTTTCAACTAGCTTTAATCTGTGTTATGCAGGGGACGTACATTTGGCTATAGACCCACATATATTTCTTATTTAAAATACTTAAATTGTATGACAAATTTGTGTTTAAAAATGTATTGTTTATATAAAAATAGTAAAATTTAAATTCATTCTTATTTACAATATAAATGTAATAAATGAACTATTTTACCATTTCACACTTCAAAATTATAAAAATATTTAAGTTTAATATAATCATAAATTTTCATACATTTTTATAAATATTTTAAACATATATTGCAAATGTATATTTTGTGAATATCACATGTCAAACACTAATGTTATTTATTTATTATTATATAGTGAAAATTATTATACACATGAAATCATATTAATTTTGCACGATACAAATATTTATATAATTTTAAACGAGTTTAACATTTTAATATTATTATATAAATATCAAAACTGCATAGTATATTTAATTTTCATTATTATAATTTAAAAATAAAATGTATACCATTTGTTAATGTTAAAAATTAAAATGACATTAATTTAATAATTTTAAAAATTAAAATTACAATTTATGTTTTAAGAATTTATTTATTTTTTATTTTGAAGAAAAAAAGAGTTATGTCATTTAATTCATAATAAGACTTTGAATACAACTAGGAACAAATTAAAAAATTAGGTTACTAACAAAAATATATATTACTACTTTACTAAGGAAATGAGTAAGTTTATTGGTTTGTCACCTCATAAAATGCATTGAGATGTTTAAAAGATGAGAAATCTATAATAAGATAAAATTGATAGCAGACTTTAGTGTAAATATTTATTTTTCCTTTTTTATTTTTATTATTACATGAAGAATATGTTCTATTTTTTTTTAATATAAAGAGTCAAAATAATGACGCTTTATATTAATTATCAATAATTATAAATAATTGTTGAATATTGTAAAAGTTGTGGTAATCAATAGTGATAAAGACATTAAGTATGTCGAGCCACTAATTTTAATAACGAAACTACATTTCGAGAAATTGCAAGTAGTTCTTGCTAGATAATCAACAACGTACTTGCCTAATGTGTAGATCACAAATCTAAGAAAGGATTAAGTCACATACCCTGAGCTTTTTAACTCCATGCTATGAGGAATGATTATATCAATTTCCATGTTTTCAATGCCAATATGATTGACATTTAATTCTGGCATAAATACTTACTCCTATTGATTACTCCTTATCTTCTTTATTATAAGAAAATACAATAATAGAAAAAGTATCATTCTATGCCACTTTTGAAATGCCTTTTACATATTTGGCCTTGAGGTTAGATCCTACAATCACTTGCAATCATCTTAAGTTAGAGAGAACAACTTCTCATAACCATCTTTAGGACTGTAAGTGGGTTAAGTTGAGTTAGATTTGGATGAATCCGTCACCCAATCTAATCAAAATTCGGATTGGATTCGGTCAAATTTTACTATCTTTTATAAAGATATAAGTATTATTTTATAAGTTGCTTCTGACTCAATTTAAGTGTTTTTGACTTACTTTTTCAAGTAACTATTCAAATATTTTTTGAACACAAAACTTCTTTAGATTTTAGATACTAAATATTCTTTTACAGATAAATCTCTCCAAACTCAAAGTAATAACACAAAGTTAAAGTTGGATAAGATAATAAAGTTATTTCGTCTTACAATTTAGACATGATACAACTAATTAAGTACAAGGCTTTTTAAAGAAAGAATATTGAAACATACAATTATGTTCATGTGAGTCTCCTAATGTATATATTCTTTTTGAGTCTTTAAACTTCTTTACATAGGTACTTCATGAAGATAATCGTTGCAAATCTTTGAATGTCTCTCACAAGTTTGTTTCATCTATCTTCATCTTTCATTCCTTGAAAGGAGAGGAACCATGTATGTGTTAGTCTGAAACAACTTTTTCTAAGATTTTGCATGCTTCGAAGGATATGTTAGTTCTTTCTTTTTTTTTTTTTTTTTTTTTTTTTTTTTTTGTTTATGCTTAACATGTCTTTTGTTCCTTAGTGAAGTGTGAGTATCAAATAAGTTTTTTTCCTTTTGATTTGTTAAAGAATCATATAATTAAACAAAGATGATTTTGTTATCAAACATTATAAATGATATAAATACAAAACATATGTTACAAATAAAGTGCTTCGGCCGTGAGGCTTAATGTCATAATAATAATTGATCATCTTATTATTATTCATCTTAAAGTATGATTTGAAAATTTTTTCTCTATAAAAACGTTTATATTTATTATCATTCAAGCTTAAAGCATTTAAGATCGTCTTTTGACCTAACATTTATCTCATTAACATGTTACACATTCGTGTCTAATAGGATATTAGTTCAATTGAACACATGTTGTTCTTTTATTTTTCTCCCCTACTATTAATTGTTAAGTCTTCCATGTTGTGTATTTCGAAGTGTTGCATTTTTTTTTTTCATTTTCATAGTCTTTCATCGTGGTAAGTTAGACCTAATTTGTCAAATATGTTTTTATTGGTTACTCCTCCAATTAAAAAGGTACAAGTTGAAGTGAATGTTATGCAATAAGAAGTGGGGTTAAATTGTTGTCTTTAATAAAAATCAATTATTTATGAAAATTTGTCACTCAAAATGTAGTGCTTCTAAGTGCTTTAAAAAACTTAGTTACTTCAAAATCTGTTTCAAAGAAGTTTAGAGTAAAATTGTCCTTCAAAAGTTGATGCTTCTAAGTGAGTAAAACTTAGTCTTTCCTTTAGACAATAGTAAAACATGCAGTTCAGATATATATTGTAATAACCAATTGTAGAAAATAAAGGAGATAAAGTAAGAGAGAGTGCAAAAAGGATTTTATATTGGTTCACCCAAACTTGGGCTATATCCAGTCGTCGCACACATTGTGAGATTTTTTCACTATATCAGTAATAATTGTTCTGATTACACCACCAACCATGTGCTGAGTTTAGTTCCACACAACACAACCACCTATTGTTTGTGCTTCAAACTTAGCAACCTACTAAGACTTCTTCCTCAACAACCAGTTAGGTACCTACACGCACAACCACTTGCTATGAGTCTACTTGACCAATTGGCTAAATCTTTTTACTCCTTCCTACACCTCTAAACACTAGATATGGGTAGGGAAGGCTTTTTACAAAATCAGGTTTTTGTGTATCCTAACAATTGTTATGGTTACAACAATCTCTTCTTAACTAGGAACTTCCACTTAGGAAGTTTCTCACTTTTTTTTTTCTATTACAAGAGTGTTTACAAAGTGCAGAAATGGAGATATCTGAACACAGAGTATGAAGTAAGGATTAAAACTATGGAAGCTTGTATTTTGATGGCTCTTTTTGATCTTGCTTGCTTGAAAACTGTAGCCTTAGTTTTCCTTTTATAGCCTTTGGAATATGGCCATTATGGATAGCTTAGTTTTTAAGTAATGTTGATGTCAACTTATACTTTCATTAGTGTAGTCGGCAAATTCCTCATAAACAATTTGCTTCTGAAGCTTCCTTCTAAGCTACTTTCTAAGCTTCCTTATAAGCAATCTTTTGAATAGTCTTCGGTACAAGTCTCTTGAGTAGTTAAGCTTGAATTGAAGGAAAATATTATTTCCTCTTATTGTCATTCAATGCCAGAACCCCCACCTTCTAATTGTTCCTATACTAGAGAAAGTTGGTTTTTCTGGGGTTGTAAACCTTAAACATCTCAAGGTAGATCACGCATTAGTGACAACTTTGGTTGAAAGATGGAGACTTGAGACTCACACCTTCTGTTTTCCAACAAGGGAGTGCACGATAACACTAGAGGATGTTGCACTTCAACTCGGCCTAAGAGTTGATGGTTTACCAGTCATTGGCCCAACATTATATACTGGGAGGATATGTGTTCCACGTATCTCAGCATTGTGCCAGTTAAAGGAGAGTTACTAATTGGTTCTATGATCAAGCTAAAGTGGTTGAGAGAAAATATATTGGAATTACTTGAGGAACCATCTTAAGAAGAACTTCATGCACATTGTAGGGCATATATATTAGGTTTAATAGGAGGTATTTTGATGCTTGACAAAATAGGCAATAAGGTACATCTTATGTATTTATCTTTATTAATAAATCTTAGAAGAATAAGACGATATAGTTAGGGGTATGCTTGTTTAGTTATGTTATATAGGGAAATGTGTAAAGCCACATATGTTACGAGCAGAACAATGGGTGGTTATGCATCATTATTACAGTCCTGGGCATGGCATCGCATGCCATATATTGCGCCAATTTCCAGAATACCATCAACATTCCCTTTGGTTTGCAAATGGAGCAGAGGTGAATGCTAAACTTTCAAAGTGTACCTCATAATGATGTTGTGGGATACAGATCAAGGTTTAATCACATTCAGGCTGATTAGGTAACTCTTCATAACAAAGTTTTATTTGTTTCTTGTAACACCCCAGTTTTCATACTTTTTTTAGAGGGTAATTTAGTAATTTTCATAAGATTTATTGAGGGTAATTTAGTAGCCCAGAACGGGCCGTTCTCAAACTGGAACGGACCGTTCTCAAACTGGAACGGGTCATTCCAAACCACCAAAATGGCCTATAACCCTAGTTGGACGAACCGTTCCAAAGTTGGAAACGGGTCGTTCCAAATATGGACGTTGTGAGTTAAAACTCATCTCTGGAACGGGTCGTTCTAGTTTGAGAACGGACCGTTCCAGATGTGAATTTT